AGGCCTCAAGGGATAGCGGATGAGCTGGTCCCTCACCGCCTCCCCCCCCCTCATGGACCCTTGAAGTCACGCCCACAAACTGCCTCTGGCTGCTACTTGAGCTCCTTAACTGCCACAATCCAGAGACACACAGGAGAATTTCCAAACCAAGCAGTTCGCTACAGAGATGTCTTCGAATTTTAAGCCAGGACGACTTCACCAGGGTACCTCAGACAGGGGTAGGCGTTGACACTCCACCTGTCCCCTAAAAATCTCAGCAGCCACCAGCTTCTAGAACTCAATGAGAAGTGCAGACTGTCTTCACTACAGCACCTCAGAGTGGGGTGGGTTGAGTTTTCCCTCCCTGTCCCAAGCAGAACCCTGGCAGCTGAAAACCTCCAAAACCCAACAGCCACCATGCCCAAGACCACTCTCCACATGCTTGGACGAGCCTCACCCAAGAGGGGATGAGCCTCACCCAAGATGGGATGAACCTCACCCACGAGCGGACTGGCTGGAAAACCCAGGTATGCAGGAACCCGTGACTGAGATCTCCAAACCCTCTTGGATCGGGACTGGGCCTCCTCCCCCCAGGTCCCCAGTTTTCCAGTACCTTGGCAGTCACACCCACAAACTGCTCCCAGCGCCCATGTAATCTCATCAACAGCCAAGACCCAGAGACTATAAACTAAAGCTCCCAGAAGAAAACAATACAGAATTTCCTGGACATTATATTCTATCCATAACAAGCAATACGAAACAGATCCTCTAGCATTGCCTTTTTGGCTGATTTGAGTGGTGGTGGAACTGGCGTCAAAATATCAAATGTAACCAAAGCAGAGAGAGAGAGTATGGGGGAAACTGCCTGCCACACAGGCAGCAGAAGGGTTGGAACGGGGTGGGGGGTAATACTGAAAATTTTGGTGGTGGAAAATGTGCACTGGTGAAGGGATGGGTGTTGGATGATTATATGACCGAAGCTCAAATATGAAAGCTTTGTAAACTGTATCTCACGGTGAATCAATAAAAACGGGGAAAAATAATAATAATAAAATTAAATTAACATTCTGAATAATAAAAAAAAAGTAATGTGAAACTCATGCCCAATTCAATCAGCTTAATCAATGGCTAAGTAACTAGCAGTACTCCTACATTAAAAAAAAAAAAAAGGAAAGAGATGAAAGCTGCAGTTAACCTTGGACCCATGCATGGCTGAACAGACCAGGGTAAATGGGGGTGGGGGGGGAGGCTAGTCTACTGCCCACCCAAAGAGAGCCCCCAGTAGCCACTTGCTTCCACAATCCAAAATTGCCCATGCTCCCAGCCAGACTTCACCGTCTCAGGACAAACTTGACTGAGATATTGACTTGTTGAAAAATTGGGTATGCAGGTTTGTGACTGAAATCTCCAGGCTTTCTTGGAGTTGGAATGGGCTATCTCCCCTCACTTCCCTATACGCAAGAACCAACTCCAGCACCACTGTGTAAGCTCTTCTATTGGCCTTGCTTCAGAGGCTCATAAATAAATCTCGAAAGAAATCAAAATCCGTGAACAAGCACAATGACCTCTTACTATCTATACTTCATAATGCAAAAGAAAAAGGAGAGAGAGTAAGAAGGAAAGTGCCTCCCATAGAGGGAAGCTGGGGGTAGGGGGTAGGGCGTGGGGGATGGTGGGAGGGAAACAGGGCCACTCGTGGTAGGAAATGTACACTGGTGGAGGGATGCGTCTTGGATCACTGTATGACTGAAACCCAGTTATGTATAGCTTTGTAATGGTGGAGCTCACAGATATCCAATTGAAAAATTAAAAAAAAAAAAAGTAATGTGGAGTTCATGCCCGCTTCGGTCAGCTTCTTAATCAGTGGCTGAAAAAATAGCAGTACTCCTACATTAAAAAATTAAAAAGTGGGGATGGAGCGATAGCACAGCAGGTTGGGCATTTGCCTTGCACACTGCCGACTGGGATTTGATTCCCAGCATCCCATATGGTCCTCCAGGAGTTATTCCTGAGTGCATGAGCCAGGAGTAACCCCTGTGCATCACCTGGTATGACCCAAAAAGCAAAAATAAAATTAAATTAAAAAAGAAGTGATCCCTGACCACAGAGCTAGGAGTGAGGCCTGATCAGTGTTGGGTGTGGCCCCATAAAACAATAACAAAATCTTCAAATGGGCAGTTTTCGGGTCACTCCCAGTAGTTCTCTGACCTTTTTCAGCTTTGTTTCTGGGTCACACCTGGCAGCGCTAGTGCTCCTCTCGCTCTTTCTCTTTCTCTCCTTACTTTGAGCACATATTGCTTTCTTTTTTAACAAAGTTGGGGGGGACGGAGGGGCACAGATCTGGCAAACTAGAGCAGGCAAGGGTATGGCTCAGCCATGGAGTGCTTGCCTCCCATGTGTCTCGCCGAGTTTAGCCCAGAAGAGCTGGCACACTTGGGAGACATCGACGGGGTTCCTGCCAGGGCATTTCCAGCTCTCACGGGAAGAGGCTCCTTTTTCTCTCTGAAAATGCTCTAAATTCTTGGGGCTGGAGAGACAGTACAGCAGGCAGAGCTCTTGCCTTGCCTGTGGCCAACCTGAGGTTCAACCCCTGGTACCACACCCCCTTCCCCCCAGGAGTGATCACCGAGTGTAGAGCCAGGAGTCAGTCCTGAGCACCGACAAGTGTGGCCCCAACAAACAAACAAACAAACTAGATTCTACTATGTCAGGTCTATCCATACACTTGTTTTTTGTGTGTGTGTAGGGGGAGAATGGAGCCACACCCAACTATGCTCAGAGATCACTCCTAGTGATGCTTAGTAGATTATATGTGGTGCCAAAGAACAAATCCAGGTTGGTCATGTGCAAGGCATACACCCTACCCACATCCTGCTGTTGGCATACAATATGGATAGTTTGTGGGGGGTTCTGTTTTTTTGGCTTTTTTTTTTTATTGAATCACTGTGAGCTACAATTACAAAGCTTTCATGTTTCAGTTTCAGTCATACAATGATCAAACACCCATCCCTCCACCAGTGTACATTTCCCATCACCAATGTCCCCAGTATCCTTATCCCCCCCCATCTTAACCCTCCCCCTGCCTCTATGCAGACATTTCCCTCTTCCTCTCTTTCTACTTATGGGCATTATGGTTTGCAATACAGATAATGAGAGACCATCATGTTTGGTTCTTTATCTACTTTCAGCATACATCTCCCATCCTGAGTGATCCCTCCAACCATCCTTGACTTAGTGATCCCTTCTCTATTCCAGCTGCCTTCTCCCCCAGCTCATAAGGCAGACTTTCAACCATGGAGCAATCTTCCTGGCCCTCTCTCTACTGTCCTTGGGTGTTAGTCTCATACTATGATATTTCATATTCCTACGTGGACATTTTGATTCACATTAATCCCACTTGTCATCTTCACTACTCCCAGAAAAGAAACTCTTGGGGGCTAAGAGTTTATCTACAGTCTGACAAGGACCTTCCCAACTTCCCTGCTGCTCCAATGAGTGTTTCAATAAATACTGGCTACGTATTCAGTCTGGCCCATGAGGATGCCAAGAATAGAGAAAGGAACCGAGTATAGGCCCCATCCTCCAGGAGAGGGCAGATGTCAACTCTGCCACCTACTAGCAACTCCCACAGTGGGGACAGGACTAGAATCCTAGCCAGATCACAGGCTGCTTCACTCTGGGGGGGGGGGGGGGGGCACAAAGAAGCCCAGAATTCCACCCACTGACTCTGTGTAATAAGACTCCAAACTCGCCACAGTCTCACCAAGCCTGGAATAATGACACCCTGGTGGAGGATGGCGAGTAACTAACTCTTTCTCTTTCTCTCCCTCCCTCCTGCTCTCTCCCTCCCTAGATCCCTCCCTTTCTCTCTCTCTCTCTCTCTCTCTCTCTCTCTCTCTCTCTCTCTCTCTCTCTCTCCCACACACACACACCTGGCATTGCATTGCTCAGGGCTTGTTTCTAGCTGGGCTAGAGGGACCATTTGAAGTGTCCAGGATCCAACCAGGTCTTCCTGTGCAAGGCAAGAGCCCTACCAGCTGTCCTGTCTCTCCAACCCCATGTACAGTAGTTTTCAAGTGCTAGCTGATTTTCACCTCAAAGTAACCTAGGACAGTGGATATGATCACTGCATTCTCTTTGGCAGAGGAGGCCAAGGTTCCCTGTTACTAAGAGACCCGGGCTGTGGCTACAGCGGGCGGGCTACACACATGCCTGGCATGCGGAGGGCCCTGCTTTCCATTGGCTACACCCCCGACACCCAACTTCAAAGAGTGCGATCCGGGTCTGGCACAACATCATCCACCAAATCTGGACCTAGAACTCGCCTCATTGGGAACGCAACCCGGAGTGGCTGGCTCCCCTGCCGGTGCTGACCTGATGCCCAAACCTCCAAAGACCGGGAGAGAAGGGTGGAGAAATCCCCGTCACCCACAGCAGGAGTGGAGGGGACGGCGAGGGTGGGCGGGGGAGGAGTCCCATCCTACAGAAGGAATTTCGGGGTCAGATGCACCCGGGTTCAAAGGTAAATGCTCGCAAGCACGGGGGATCCTCCTGCCCAAGCCGACGGCCCCATGGGAATCAAAGGCTGGGCACGGTCCTCGCTTCCAGGCGGTGGCAAGCCGGGCCTCGGCCCTCTCCTGGCCTCCCGTGGACAGAGTGACCGTCGCTGCGGCGGGCACTGCTCCAGCCCGGCCGAGTCCTCCCGTTCCGGCCCCGTCCCCGTGGCCAGCGCCCCGACAGCCCGCAGGACGACTCGGGGCGCTGCCCGAGGCCGGGGGAAGGGACATCTGCCGCCGAGCCAGCCTCCCCCACGCAGAAGGGGACCGAGGGGGTCGCTCTTCGAGCGCGGTTCGCGCGGCGGGGGTCGCGGGGGTCTCCCGGGCCGGGCGGTCCAAGGGAGACCACCGACTGGGAGCTTCCGGGTCTGCGGCCTTCCAGGCCGGGCGGACCTCCTAGGGTGCCCGGAATCTTCCCCCCAGGTGGATGAAAACGGCCGCGTGAACCCGCTTTGGGGCGCTCACCTTTCAGCTGGTTCCTGTCGCGCCGCCGCCGAGCTACGCGCACCGACACGCCCCCTTTCATTCACCTGTCGCCCCTGCGCTGAGTGGCGGGGCAGCTGACCAATCAGAAGCACTAGAGCTCAGGAAGGCGGAGTTCTGGGCCAGCAGTTTCGTCAATGGGCGCGTCCGTTCTGAGCATGCGCGTTGGAGGCGGCGCGGCCCGCGGCGTGATGGGAGTTGTGGTCTCGGCGTTCGTGCTTCGGGCACAGAGCTAGCAGACAAAACTACAAGGACCAAGATGCCCAAAGAGGCAAGAACTGGGGTTTGGGCAGGCTGGAGCTCGATTGGGTCTGGAGTCCCTTTTGAGGGACCTGCGGAGTAGTAGTCTCTTTGTCGGAGAGCTGAAAGCACACCGTGCTTGGAAGAAGAGCTATGACTTAACCAGTGCAAACACATTGTATTTGCTAGCACTCTCCGGGAAAAAAAAAAAAAGAAATCCAGAAACGAATGAAAAGCTTTCATCTACTCAACAGGTTATTATTTCGTGGGGAGTGGGTGAGGGGGGAGTTTGGGCCACACCCGGAGATTACTCCATATAGGATGCAGGAGATCGAACCCAGGTCGGCCATGTGAAAGGCAGATGCCCTACCCGCTGTACTGTCTCAACAGGTTTTTATTGACCACCACCCTCTTCATTATAAAGGCTTTCAGGTTCCTATCAGCACATGAAACCACGATATAAAGTGCAAAGAAACTTCTCGGCTGCCTGTGAACAAGACAAACCGGGTTCCATAGCTCTCGCAGCGAGTAGGTTGTTGGATCCTTTGCTAGTGCTGCTATAACCAAGTACAACAAGTTGACTTCCACAGAAATTGATGTTCTAGAAGTATCAAGTTGGTTTCTTCTGAGAGCTATGAAAGAAACGGCTGGAGACCATTATTTTCCTATTCATCTTCCATTTATTTTATTTTATTTCATTTATTTATTTATCTGCTTTTTGGGTCACACCCAGCGATGCACAGGGGTTACTCCTGGCTCTTCACTCAGGAATTATTCCTAGCGGTGCTCAGGGGACCATATGGGATGCTGGGATTAGAACCCAGGTTGGCCACGTGCAAGGCAAACGTCCTACCCATTGGGCTATCGCTCCAGCCCCTTCATCTTCCATTTAAACCTCTGTGTCCAACTTACCCCTTTTCATAAGGACATCAATCTTATTAGATTTGGAACTTACCTTACCAGATCATGACCTCTAATCACATCTACAATGACCCTATTACTAAATAAGGTCTCACTCTCAGGTACAGTGGGTTAAGGCTTCCACACAGGAATGAAGATAGTGGGAGGGCTCCCACAATTCAACCCTTAACTAGGGGATACCGCTGAATAACCAAACAACTGGAAAGTGTCCCAGATTGCTCAATTACTAGGAACCAGCATTGCATACTCAGTAAGGCTGCAAATTCAATCCATGATGCTGCCCATACACACAAAGCATAGTCCTAGCTGAGTGGGACTATTGGGGCCACAGTGGAGTTAGTGATATTGTGCAAGCAGTGTAACTAAAGCTGTGTGAACACTACAGCCAGGAGTGCCACTGTGTGCGTATCACAGTGACTCAAGCCTAGTACTACAACCATGATGTTTCAAGCATCACAACTAAAAGATTGTAATTCCCAGCAAGCCTGTTTATACATACCACAACTAAAAATATGCACCAGAGTCTTAGAACAGCAGGGAGGTCACTTGCTTTGCACACGGCCAACATAGGTTCAATTCTCAGCATCCCATATGGTACCCAAGCTCTGCCAGGAATCCCTGAGCTTAGAGCCAGGAGTAAGCTCTGAGTATCACCACATGTGCCCCCCCAAAAAGTGTGCACCATACCCTCAGTTTATACACCACCCACCAGTAATCACAACACGCAAGGAAAGGGAAGAGAAGAGAAGAGAAGTGGGAGGAAGTAATATGAAGAGTCTGGCAAAAAATTAAAACACAGGGTTGATGCAATCAAGAGTGATTTATTGGTGGGGCCAGAGTACAGCAGGTAGGGCACTTGCTGGTTCCATCCCTGGCATTTTATATGGTTCCCAGAGCATTGCCAGGAGTGATTCTTGAGTGCAGTCGGGAGTCAGCCCTGAGCACTGCCAGTGTGGCCAAAAAACAAATAAACAAAAAGAACTATTTATGGGTTGTTAGGTTGGGTCAGATGACCTTTCACCTGAGACCCTGATGAGGAGGAACAGAAACATTTCAGGCAGAAGGAGTGCTGATACAAAGGCTCTGTAACAGCCTGATGCATGTCTCAGAAACAGAAGGGCCACTGGGGTGAGGAGGTGGATAACAATCTGACCAGTTTAATGCTGTGGAACCTGTATAGTTAGGCCTGGCTGCATGCTCAGAAAGTTCAGTGCTTGGCCTAATGCTCTGCTATTGCTCTCTTGTCATTCTCTCTCTCTCTCTCTCTCTCTCTCTCTCTCTCTCTCTCTCCTCTCTCACTCTCTCTCATGTGTGTGCACACGTATATGCTTGAGATTGAACACAGGGCTTCATACATGCAAAGCACGTATATGCTTGAGATTGAACACAGGGCTTCATACATGCAAAGCATGCAGACATGTACACAGTCACTGAGTCTCCTCTCAGCCCACTCATAATTCTTCATAATTTTCAGCAAATAACTCTCATATGTTTGTTTTGAGACCACACCAGGTGGAACTCAGGACTTATTCCTTCCTCTTTGCTCACAAATCACTTCCAGTGGGGCTCAAGCGACCATTTGTGGAGCCCAGAATTTGGGAACCAGGTCAGTTGCATGCAAGACAAGCACCTTTCCCACTGTACTCTCTCTGTCTTTTTTCTTTCTTTTTTTTTTTTTTTGTGACACTTATAGAACTGCCTCAGCATTTTTTTCTTCTCTTTGGCAGACAGTTTTGAATCCTCATCAATAGTTTTTAGTAAATTCAACAGTTCATCTTTGGTTGTCTTCTGTGTATGGTCAGAATAGTCACCTTGATCAATTCTCTGGCAATAAATATATCCTGTGTCTCTATTTGGCTCTTTTCCCCTCTGAATGGCCATCAGCTTAACACTGACAATTTTATGTAGAGTCCCAGGAATCTTAAAGACATCTTTTTGATGATCCATCTTAAAGACATCTTTTTGATTTTTTTTTTTGTATTAGGTTCCCAAATTCTGTAATGATTCCAGGCAAGTACAGGGAGGTTTGGTTTGGTTTTTCAAATGTGATAACTGCGAATCTTCAGCAGAGAAAAGAGATGATATGATAACAGTAGTCCCACTGAAAAATACAATTTGTTGGAGTTATGGTGTCAATGGTAGAAATGAAGTTAACTGGCTTAGAATAAATTTAAAAGCGTGCCAAAGACAAAACTGAAGCTCACTTTTTAAATATATTTTTAAATTTTGTTTTAAATTTTTGGTTTTGGGGCCACACCTGGCGATGCTCCAGGGTTACTCCTGGCTCTGCACTCAGAAATCATTCCTGGTGGTGCTCAGGGGACCATATGGGATGTCAGCGATCAAACCCAGGTCATCCTCATGCAAGGCAAACGCCTTACCCCGTGTACTATTGCTCCAGCCCTGTCACTTTAAAGATAGTAATAATGTTTTTCGTTTATTTTGGGGTCACACCTTGCCATGCTGGGGGCTATTCTGTGTTTGTTGCTCAAGCCTCCTGGAGGTGCTAGCACATAAGCATGTTCAGAATTGCTGCCTGCCGAGGTCAGGCATAAGCATGAGTTAGTTCTCCAAGAGAACCCAAGATAACAATACTTGAAGGCATTGGAGACACAGTAAAGGGGTTAAGGTACTTGCTTTGTATGCTGCCAACCCTGTTTCAATCCCCAGCACCATATATGGTTTCCCAAGCACCTCCAGGAGTGAACCCTGAGCACAGAGTCAGGAGTGAAAATAATAAACAAAACTCAATACTACAAAGACAAAATATTAGACAACCTTATACTGTCCATTAAGGAAAAGCAGATTAGTTGTCTCTCGCAATGCCAGATACCCAGAGAGGTCAAGCGAGCTGCCCCTTGACCCAGTGTGGCTCTCCTTGCTGTGTCTCTGGCCAGCTCAGGCCACAGCAGGGTTTGCGCTTCATGGCAGCAAAACATTCTTCAGACAGAAGAGTATCAGTCCTTCCTGGGCTTGACTACCCCTACCTCCTAACTTAGAAAGTCAGGTCACTGGCCCCTTAACCTTCATTTTTAACAGTACATGGAACTCACCCTGTACTATTCCACAATTTAAAAAATTTTTTACTGAATCAACATTGGAGATTTTTGTTGTTACTGTGTTTGGCATATCGAATACGTCATGGGGAGCTTGCCAGGCTCTGCCGTGCGGGCGAGATACTCTCGGTAGCTTGCCCGGCTCTCCGAGAGGGGTGGAGGAATCGAACTCGGGTCGGCCATGTTTGGCTGCGTGCAAGGCAAACGCCCTACCGCTGTCATTTCAGATATACAATCTTCTGACACCAATTCCTTCACCAGTGCCAATTCCATATTCCTTGTATCTATCCAAATACCTTATGAATAACTAAATTTAAGGTATATTATTTTATGGCTGGAGCATACATGTCCTATGCTAGAAAATTTATTTATCTTTCTGTTAATATAAAGGGACTTTTTAGGGTAGCTTGAATATGGTATATTCCTAGAAACTGGGCTTTGGGGGGGCGGGGCGTTCTTACTATCCCTATAGATTTGTTCTGGTATGTTGTGGGGCTTATTACCTCATTGCTGATTTGGTATTAAAATGCCCTGAACTTTGGCAAACCACCCTTCATGGGTGTAGGGCTTATGGCAGTGTTAGAATTTTTCTCCTCGGTGATGCAGCTAACAAGCCTTTATCCTGCAAGGGGTTGTTTGTCCATTGGCACATTCAGGGCCCTAGGGTGAGAAAGAATTCTTGACTTAGGCAAAACAATGGGACCCTGAGGACCAGACCTCAGGAAGAAGACCCAGACAAGAAGTACAACCTTGGGTATTTTCACGTATGCCTACCGGAAGGTTTGCAGAAAGTAAGGCCGTTGGTGTTCTATCAGTTTTG